TTGCACTCTTGGTTAGCATATCTTCTAAGTTGAGGCTAAGGCCTTCAATTGTTGCTGTTCCTCTATTTTTTTTTTTATAACCGATTTGGATGCATGTCAGACACATATCCAACATACCACAAGCATCTAAAAACTAACTAAGACTCCATACAAAAGAAGTTCAATTTAATATGGCAGAAATAAAGTTGCTTGTTCTTTATAAAACTTCTTAAAAATAGAGGTCTTAGATGAGGTGAGAAGCACTTACCACTGACCGCCAAGGGAGCAACCACAAAGTGAGGAATATCCCGAACCTTTTCATTCTCCATCTGCAGGTACACGACAGAGTCCCAGAAATAACATATTTGTGAGCTAAAAGTTTATCTTGAAGGCAAATTGGACAAGCAACTTAAACAATGAAAGAGATGCAGTAAGGTGAGCAGTCAGTTGTAGGAGGTAAGTTTAACCTACAACTTTTTATGCTGTATAAATTCATCAGATGTGTTTTAAAGATACAACACAAACAAAATTGCATGTGAGGAGAAGCAGAAGTTCAATTTCACAAAAAGTAGAATTTCAGAGACATGCCAACACAACAAAACTGATAGATTTTGCAAGCACAATAAACCCATGTATATCAGGTCGCTCCATCAAACTCAACAAGAATATACCTTCAGTTCATGCAGATTCCAACGGTTTAGACCAGTGGATCTTGAAATAGATACAAAGGGAAGGTCAATCGCTTGTACAATCATCATACAACCATTACTGGAGCTTTCAGAACTGGTAGTTGATTCGTTTAATAATAGTACGATTTGACTTTCCTGTTTTTGACAACAAAAGGTCATATAGACAACCAGTTATGAAAATTAACGGCATAAACATGGAAACTCTTAAGATCATTACTTTATATAGACAGAGATCTACGCAGTGGTAGCCATCAGGAACGGATAACAAGACAGCTTCCAGTGAGGCATTTCCCTTCTTTACACTATTCAAATCATGCATAAAACCCCTAGCGATGCCTATGCAATTTCTGATATTTGAGAATGAATCCTCGGGTATTCTGAAAGAGATGTAATCAACAAGCCTTTGTTCATGTGTTCTATAAGTTGTGACAGCCTCAGAAGCTTCCTATAGAGGAAAAGAAAACTGTGAAGAGTAATTTACTTGTAGGGGCTAAACATAAATTACTAGGCAGGCATCACCAAGGCACAATTATGATAAAATCTAATCTCGTACCATAGCAAATTGAACATATGGACATGCCTCTCTCAAGCTTAAACATAAATTTAGGTCGGAATGACAGATTAATGTCTGTTAAATAAACATAAATTAATGTCTGTTAACTTGTTAAATAAACATAAATTTGTTTAACAAGTTAATCTCAACCCACCTTGGAACCACAGATTAATGTCTTTTGCATGAGAATCTATTCCAGTTTGATAGGGGGTAACACTTAAGACCGCGAAATCCAATTTACTCATAACCTCCTGAACAATTATTTGGATAAACTTTGACTCATGCATGCACATTGCGTTCAAAATAGAAACTAACCGAATTAAGCATGTCATGAATTGAGATGAGATGATAATTTTCGAGATTATTATAATTAAGAGAGTAAATTATACATCATAAAAGGTGGGGGGGAAAGGTTGTCTGCCTACTACCCCTTCCAAAACCTACAATAAGTGGGAGCCTTGAGCGTTGGGAACAAACTTTTCTTTTCTTTTTAAAAGGTCTCCATGGTTAATTTAACCCTATAACTGCACCAGAAAGATCTTTCAGGAATTTTAGCATTTGGATTGGCGAAATGTTAGTGGTAAATTGCTATAAGATTTTAGGGGTTTGTAATGGCAGTAAGACAGGCCTGGATTAACCAGTCCAAGTCCAAATCCAACCAAGTATCTCAATGTAAAAGAGAACCTGTTTTTAATATAGAGAAAGGGAGAGAGAGAGAGAGAGAAAGAGATCGACAGAGACGGAGAGACCGAGATAGACGGATCGACAGAGAGAGAGACCGAGATCGACGGAGATCGACAGAGAGAGACCAAGATCGACGGAGATCGACAGAGAGAGAGAGAAAAAAAAACCTGCAACAACGGCGGTGGTGATTTGCGACGGTGGCGTACGACGGTGGCCAGCGATGGTTGGGTGGTGAGCGGGGGTGAGGTTTGGTGGTAACTGTTCTCTGTGTGTGTGTGGATGAGAGACAGAACAGAAAAACCCTTGGTGGTAACTGTTCAGTGGTTGTCCCAATTTGTTTATGAACACTTTGAAATGTTACTCCTTTTGTGTTTATCAACACTTTGAAATGAACACTTTGAAATGTTACTCCTTTTTGTCTTTATGGACACTTTGAAATGTTACTTCTTTTGTGAAATAATTTTTTTCATAAAATTTATACCTTTTATAAAAATGAAATTTATACCTTTTGTAAAAATAAAACTTACAAAATGAAACTTTCATGAAAATGAAATTTATACCTTTTCTGAAAATTTACATTTTTTCGTGGAAATAATTACACCGTTTCTGAAAAGTTACTCCTTTTGTCAAATAATTTTTCCATAAAATTTACACTTTTTGTAAAAATGAAACTTACACCTTTTGTGAAGTTACTTACATCTTTTGTGAAATAATTTACACTAATTCTGAAAAGTTACGCTTTTTGTGAAATAATTTCTTTTATAACATTTACACCTTTTGCTAAAACTTAGACCTTTTTTGAAAATTTACACATTTTCGTGGAAGTACTTAAACATTTTTTGAAAAGTTACTTCTTTTATGAAATAATTTTTTTCATAAAATTTATACCTTTTGTAAAAATGAAATTTATACCTTTAAACTTTAATGAAAATGAAATTTATACCTTTTCTGAAAATTTACATTTTTTCGTGAAAATAATTACAACGTTTCTGAAAAGTTACTCCTTTTGTGAAATAATTTTTTCTAAAAAATTTACACTTTTTGTAAAAATGAAACTTACACCTTTTGTACCTTTTTTTGAAAATTTACACATTTTCGTAGAAGTACTTAAACATTTTTTGAAAAGTTACTTCTTTTATGAAATAATTTTTTTTCATAAAATTTATACCTTTTGTAAAAATGAAACTTACAAAATGAAACTTTAATGAAAATGAAATTTATACCTTTTCTGAAAATTTACATTTTTTCGTGAAAATAATTACAACGTTTCTGAAAAGTTACTCCTTTTGTGAAATAATTTTTTCTAAAAAATTTACACTTTTTGTAAAAATGAAACTTACACCTTTTGTGAAGTTACTTACATCATTTGTGAAATAACTTACACTAATTCTGAAAAGTTACGTCTTTTGTGAAATAATTTCTTTTATAACATTTACACCTTTTGCTAAAACTTAGACTTTTTTTGAAAATTTACACCTTTTCGTGGAAGTATTTAAACATTTTTTGAAAAGTTACTTCTTTTGTGAAATAATTTTTTTATAAAATTTACACTTTTAGTGGAACTTAAGTAAAATGAGTAACTTTGTGAAACTTACACCTTTTTTGTAAACTTTTATGAAAAAAATTATTTCATAAAAGGAGTAACTTTTCAAAAAAGGTGTAACTATTTCCACGAAGGGGTGTAAATTTTCAAAAAAATATGTACTAAGGTATAAATTTTATGAAAGAAATTATTTCACAAAAGATGTAACTTATCAGAAATAGTGTAAGTTATTTCATAGAATATGTAAGTAGCTTCACAAAAGGTATAAGTTTCGTCTTCACGAAAGGTGTAAGTTCCAATATAATGGGTAAATCTTATGAAAAAAATTATTTCATAAAAGGAGTAACTTTTCAAAAAAGGTGTAGTTATTTCCACGAAAGGGTGTAATGTTAAATGTGCAAATTTTATGAAATAAATTATTTCACAAAAGGTGTAATTTTTCAGAAACAGTGTAAGTTATTTCACAAAAGATGTAAGTAGCTTCACAAAAGGTATAAGTTCTGTTTTCAGAAAAAGGTGTAAGTTCTAATAAAATGTATAAATTTTATCAAAAAAATTATTTCACAAAAATAGTAACTTTTTAGAAAAGTTGTAAGTATTTTCATAAAAATGTGTAAGTTTTCAGTGTAAATTTTATAAAATAAAATTTTTCACATATGGTGTAACTTTTCAGAAAATGTATAACTTGTTTTACAAAAGATGTAAGTATTATGTGTAAGTTGTCAAAAGTTACACATTTGGTAAGTAATTTTACAAAAGGTGTAAGTTATCAGAAAAGTGTAAGTACTTTCACAAAAAAATGTAAGTTCTCACAAAAGGTGTAAATTTTCACAAAAGGCGTAAGTTTTCACAAATCACTTATGCCTTTTTCTGAAATTACTTACACCTTTTGTGAAATTATTTACACATTTTGTAACAATTTATACTTTTAGTCATATAATATATTCTTTTCACTACAAGAAAATCGGCGACCAATTATTTTAGTAGGGGAAACATACCTTTTGGCGACTAAAGCCAATTTAGTAGCCAAATGTGTACACTTTCGGCGACCAAACAGATTTTAGTCGCCAATACTATCGCCGACAGGGTAAAGGCGACGAGCTTAGCGACGAAAAATTTTGGTCGCAAATTCATTTTGGCGACTAAATAAGTGACTTTTGGCGACCAATATTTTGGTAGCCAAAAGTGACATTTCTTGTAGTGTTTATTCATTTACTTAGAAAGTGACCTACTTAGCAAGTCACCAATGTGCTAGTTTTCAAATATTTTTGTATAACTCAATACATAAAAGGATGTAAAAGTAAAATAAAAAGGTGTAAGTGCCTTGCATACCATATGCAAGGCACACTTAAGAAAAGTCTTTTGACAAAATAACACTATTCATTGTCAAATTATAACAATAGCTATGCTATTTTAGCAAACTCCATTAGAGATGCTCTAAATGAGAGACCAACTTTTTATTTTTATGTTATCTTGCTAATTATCTGATGTAACTGCTAATTCATCATATTTTCTAGAATTGTTATAAAAATATCTCTTTAAGTCATTTCTATTGATTAACTTTTGTATAATTGCATAATATTTTTCTGACATTTTCTTCCCGGTACAATCTTTCTTCAATCAAACGGCTTCTAGTCAGAGTAGCAAGATTCAAAACTTGAGGCATTCACTTCTCCAAAACACCAAAAACCTACTGCAAAAACATTATGTTGGGACATTTCAACTTCTGCAAAGCCCAACCCTTGACACAAAATTAAGAAATAATGTCACTCTTGCAAGTAATTGAAATTGACAACGAGTTCAATTAATTTAATCAACATCAAATGCTCTGTTGATGGTTTGAGGGGTCCTGAACTGCAGGAAGATAAACATCCGAGGATCCCAAACGGGTACAATTGACATAATCTTGAGGTGAATGCGCTGGAACACCTGCAATTACCAATCCGATTAACCGGAGAACACGAAGAACACCCCCTTCTTTGTACTCTGGTCCCTTTGTGTATCTAATACTGAAGCTTCTAATCAGCTCCCAAAAAGCATTTATGATCTTGGGTATCACTGACAGTGGTGAAAAGTAGTTCTTGTTTGGTTCTTCTGTAACCACCTTGCCTTTGTAGAAGCTGTTGAAGTAAACACACGTCCCAAAGTGTTTAAACATAAGAGTGTTATCATCGTAAGGCAACCTAGGCACCATATCATTACAATACACAAACCTATAATACCCAACATTAAAATTTCTCAACTGCTCTTTCATATACTCCCCAAATTTCTCATCTCCAACCCTCGGCTGTCCAAAAGTATACACCCCTTCCAACCTCTCCAACAGCCACTCCTCCTCATGAAATGCCAAAACTGCTGGAAACAGTATCGCCAACGCTCCACCCAAGCTGTGACCGGTTAATATATACTTGGCTTGATTGTTTGTCCCTAAAAGCTCTCTTAGCAAGTCTCGAATGGCGTAGTAGGCCAAGTCGGGTTGGTTGTCGGCTCGTTGGACGTCTTTGGGCCAACCCGTGTGTTTTTGGAGGCCGAGAGCTTTCATGAAGCCGCCGTGGACTTTGCCTATGCCGGAGAGCTCGTACCATGAGATGTCGAAGTCGCTGCACCATGCGTCTGTGTCGAAGGTTTCGGTTCCTCGGAAGGCTACGACGATGAGTTCCGGATTGACGTTCTTGTCCCGAAGCATGAAGGCTTGTGTTGTTGCTTTGTCTTGGTACTCTGTCAATTAACATTGGATTAGGATTTAATTGATTCCTTGATTGTCGAATGAAATTGTGCACTGTTATCTAATTTATTGATTCAGTGTTTCGTTAGTGGTTTATGAAATTTGATAATAGAGACCATATATCTTGTAAGATATGTTCTTCATCCTTGATTGTCGAATGAAATTGTGCACTGCAAGAGATTTCTTACATTCTCTTATTTCTTTCATCCTTGATTGTCGAATGAAATTGTGCACTGTTATCTAATTTATTGATTCAGTGTTTCGTTAGTGGTTTATGAAATTTGATAATAGAGACCATATATCTTGTAAGATATGTTCTTCATCCTTGATTGTCGAATGAAATTGTGCACTGTTATCTAATTTATTGATTCAGTGTTTCGTTAGTGGTTTATGAAATTTGATAATAGAGACCATATATCTTGTAAGATATGTTAAGTAAAAGATTCATAAGCTCACTAAAACTCAACAATACCTCTCTAATGACTATTCAACTAGCGCAATCATTCATCATACATAAAATAAAATTTGAAATCTACCAAGAATTGTAAATATAGGGTGAATATTCATGGGTAAATCTTAGCCTTAGATTATAAATTATGGATGGTTTTCTCTCTCTTTTCGATAAATATATACGAAAAAATGGAAACAACTCTTGCAAACTCACCATTCCAAAAATCAAAGCAATCTAAGAACTCCATCTGCAGGGGCAAACAAATGATATTAGAAATTTCTATCATATAAACTCAACAAAAAGCCTCTATTTGAATTTGTACAAAAATATATGGATAGAAAAGAAAATTATAAGAAAAGATTATTTCATATACTTTTCTTACATTTTTCTTTTTCCTCTCCACAAATCCAAAAATCCAAACATGACCCACATCCATATCCAACATCTCCTCACAAAATCTCCAAATACTGTCTTGAATTTTAAATTTGTTTTTGAAAAAAGATAAAAATGAGCATCTACTTTAATTGAAAGATTGTTTAATTACCTTCCAGTGATCTGTGACAGTAGATTGGAGATAGGCTCTGTTCTCATAAGATGCTTTAGAAGCCATCATAGAGAGTGCAGCATAGTATCTGCAATCACCATGTTTGATGCTTTTATCTAACTCCACCCTCGTGTCTAGATTCCCTATAAATGACAAGAACGTTGCTGAATCTTTATCCGGCTTCACCACCCTCCCTGCAATAATTAACCGCCTCTCCATTAGTATTTGATACTAACACAATATTTATTTTTATAAATGAAATAAAAAATAAAAAAAATTCTTGCATAAAACTAGTACATAATCTGGCAGCAAAATAATATAACAGTGGCATTTTTACAATTAACTGTTATTCAAATGAGTTTTTTTTTTTTTTGGTTATTTTTTTTCATTTTTACGTAAAAAGGAGAAAGGAAAATCATGATGAAAGTAACTTTTTTTTATGAAAGTGAAAGATCAACTTTGGATCGAATCATCGAAAATTCTGTTTCATTTTAAGTAAATTATCTTGATCGCTTTTAAAAGGAAAATGTCTCGTAACTTAAATTTTGTGGCTCAAAAGTGGCTCAAATGACCAAAACGACGTCGTTTTGGCCATTTTTATGTTGTTCTGTACTCAAAACAACGTCGTTTTGGCCATTTGAGTCACTTTTGAGCCACAAAATTTGAGCCACAAAATTTGAGTTACGTAGCATTGTCGCTTTTAAAATTTTTAAAAATATAAGTTTTATAATTTACACATAATTATATTGGTTTTTCATTTAATGAGAATAAAAATATGAGAAATAATGCAGATGATAGAATAATATTAGAATAAATAAGATAAAATACACATTTTAATGTAAAATTGATAACAATATTATTTTTTATTTATGTAATTAATAAATCACGGATAAAAATATGACTAAATATTGTATAAATTAAGATCTTAAGATAACTTAATATAATTATGCTAAGTTTGTGAGTTTTTTTTTTTTTTTATTAAAAAAAAAGCAGCATAATTTACCTTTTATTTTATGTTCCATGTATCTATTTTAATTACTATTAATGAATAGTAAGTGATGGCATTCAATAAATTATGTCGAAGAAGGTAGAAGTTGATTTTAAAGGTATGTCATTAAACTTAAAATGGAATTTTACGTGAAACACATGTTGTAGATATTCCCCACTTCCCTGGACAAAAACAAGCAATGGTGCTCTGCCTGTCCCTATCTTAACTTGATGATGTTGTTTTCTCGAAAGGAATAATAATAATTTCAGCAATGTTAGGTATCATAAAAAAAATTATGAAAATAATTATGAAAATTTTGTGATTCTTCAATTACACTTAGAATAAAGCACCACATATTAATTAAGATAATCTAAGGATGATAAATCTTTTATGATCATTTTCATAAAAAAAAATTTCATGATCCCTAACTTTTCTCTAATAATTTAATGGATCACTTTGAACTGTGAAGATAAGTTATCTAGACAAGACAAGACACCCTTAAAAAAAAATAAGAAAACCTCAAAACCAAAAAAAAAACTTGGGTCCCGCCATCAATTATTCCCATCTTGTCTAACTAACCACTAACTTGAAATTTTGATTGGACTCTCTGTACACACAAAATTATAATATTTTGTTTAAGAAATAATATAATAAATGGTGTCTAAAGTTGATTTTTATTAAATTATCATAAAAAAAAATTATGAAAATAATTATAAAAATTTTGTGGTTCTTCAATTACACTTAGAATAAAGCACCACATATTAATTAAGGTAATTTAAAGATCATAAATCTTTTATAATTATTTTCATAAAAAAAATTTCATGATCCCTAATTTTTTTCTAATAATTTAATGGATCACTTTGAACTGTAAAGATAAGTTATCTAGACAAGACAAGATACCCTAAAAAAAAATAAGAAAACCTCAAAACCAAAAAAAAAACTTGGGTCCCGCCATCAATTATTCCCATCTTGTCTAACTAACCACTAACTTGAAATTTTGATTGGACTCTCTATACACACAAAATTATAATATTTTGTTTAAGAAATAATATAATAAATGGTGTCTAAAGTTGATTTTTATTAAATAAAACAATAAATCTTATGTTGTTATATTAAATAAAACAATATTTTGACACAAGTGACTATTGAAACAATATTTCAGAAGCACTAAATAACTTCTCCACACACACCTCAGAAGCACTTGCACAGATTATATCCATAGTTCTAGGTTTTTGAGATGGTTTATGTTAGGCGGGAAGATTAAAAAAGTGTACTTTTTGTCTTTTTGAACTAAAAAATTGAGGTTGAAAATATGGATGTTTGGGTTAACTTTTTGACTTTTTATTGAAAAATGTGTAATAAAAAATTGTAAAAATTGATTTGTAAGGAAAAATTTGAATTGAGAGTTGTGCAGCCGTAATTGTTGACTTTTGATGAATAGTGTTAACTTTTTAGCTTTTTGAGTAATTTTTTGACTTTTTAACTTTTTTGAATCTTCCCAAACTTGCCTTTAATATTAACACCATGCGTGTTTGATTCTCTAAAGTAATCCATATACAAAATTGATATAGACCCCCACCACCCCCCACATATATGCGGGGTCAACGAGAGGAAGATTAAAAAAAAAAAATTTATACCAATCAATATTCACTTAGAGTAGTGAGGGTCACCCTAGTGGAGGTTTCACTCGTTTTTTGATCCATATATTTGATCTGTGGTGGAGGTTGATAGTACGTCAAGTGCACATCACGTGCTATGACAATTAGAAATAAAATAATAAAGTGGCCCACTTTCACAAGGAAAATGATTGGTGGCCCTAAAAAATTTGTCCCTAATGTCCCTAATTTCCATTTTTGGAAACTGTTTTCTTTTTTTCTTTCTTTTTTCCTTTTTTTTTTTTTTTTTTTAACCAAAAGTGGAATTTCGGGGCATTCGAGCCCCGAAATTTAGGGCCCTCAAGCAGCGCTGCTTTCACAAATTGTTTTCAAGTATACGAAAATGAGTTGGACCCCAGTGGGGTGTTGGGGTCTCCTCCTATTGGTCAAAAATTGTTTTTATTTTTTATTTTTCTTCTTTTCCTCCATTGCCAGCCCTCCACGTGGAGGTGGGGTGCTGGGGTGCCTCCGTACTGGGGGTCGGAATCATGGCTCTTCAGGTATATATTCCTTTCTTTTATTTTAGGATGTAAGTTAAAAAAAAAATTTAATTTTTTTAGAAAATGTAAAAAAAATAAAGAAATAATGTGACTTAAAAAGAATTAAAAAGTTAAAAAATTAATTTTTAACCATATTGTCAAAATAGGCTATAACACCCCTCGTGCATGCTGTAGATAAGACATAATTTAATTGGTGTTAATTTTTTGATTTCTTTAATTTTTTTAAAAAAAATATTAAAAAAATAAAAAAAATAATATGACTTAAAAAGAATTAGAAAGTCAAAAAATTAATTTTTAACCATATTTTAAAAATAGGCTATAACACTCCTGGTGCATGCTGTAGATAAAATATAATTTTATTGGTGTTAATTACGAATTATCAAGGTGTTTGGTGATGGGTCACTGTATTGGTAAGGCCAGCAATTTGTCAAATCAAAATTCGTTCTGTCTGGTTATGATGTTTAGTTATGCTAAAAAATTGTGCAAGTCAGTAGTTTTACGCGCTATTTATTTAGGTAGAAAATATTTTTTATAAAATTTTTTTAGAAAATATTTTTAATTTTTAATTTTTTTTTTTTTTTTGTGTGTTTAATGGTGATAGTGGTGGAGGTGGAATAGAGATAGAAGTGGAGGCAGAGATGGTGGAATGGTGGTGGAGCCACACTGACTGTGATGGGTGGTGATGGTTGTGGTGATGGTGGAGTGGTAATATTGGTAAAATTTTAATTCGAAAAATGTTTTTTCCCTTCTAAAAGTAAAAAATATTTTTTTGCCTAAATAAACATATTTTTCATTGATCATAGAAAATGTTATTGTTTATTTTGGTTTTCTATTATACTAAACACTAAAAAATATGAAATATGTTTTCAGCCAAACAAACGGAGTGTTATCCACAGCCAAAATGATTTTTGACCTATTTTGGCAATTGAATTAAAAGCCAATTTTTTTTATTTTTTAATTTTTTTTAGATCATATCACTCTACTTTTTTTTACATATTCTTTTTTAAAAAAGTAAAAAAAAAAAAAAACTAATTTTTAACCTACTTCTCAAAATAAACCTTAATTGTGGTTCAAATTGATATTAGTTAACCTAATATAACTGTGATATCAATAAGGTGTTGTTTGACTGTATTTTAAAAGACATTTTATTGGCTAAAAACCCCATTTTGCCATGATAAACTTTAATTAATTTCGCAAAACTCATTTTTCATAACAAAACCCAATTTACCACTCTAAAATGCCATTAAAAAGCCAAACAAATTAGATTTTTTATAAATTCATTTTTTTCAAAGAATTTTATTTTTAGCTAACTTTCAAACAAGGATGGATCTAGGGGCGACTACTCCTAAAAATTTGAAAAACATCATATATTATATTAAAATTTTATAATATTTCAAAATTATAAGAATTTGCACATCCAAAACATACTTTTGCATAATTCTGGATCCTTCCAAAGAAAGCCTAACTCAAATTTATTTATTGATTTTTTAAACTGGAAGTGAAAAAGTATAATATGCTTATATTTTCTTAATAAAATTTTCCTCTCTTTAAAACTATTGGATGGAAAGCCAAGTAGCCAGCTAACCATAAACTTCTTATTCTTCATGATAAAGTCAATGTCAATGAAGTTTTATGGTCAATTCATCAGATCTCTCAGATTCAATGAACCACCCAATTTCATAAAATGTTAATTATAGTAGACTAAAATAAGAGCATATATATCTGAAAAAACAAAACAAACCTCGGAAGAAATTCAAAATCAGCACACCAAAATTGCGGTTGCTGGAGAGAAGGTTGAGCCATATCTCCACAACAGACCCGAACCATGCCAATGGCTTAGACACAGCTTGAAGAATCTTCAGAACCAAGATGGACACAACTATGAGCCATCTGTATTTGAAGCTCTGCTCAGTCCCAGCAGGGCACTCAATGAATTTCCTCTTGGCTAAGTCACTGTTGAACAAGACTCGAATGAGATCAATGAGACTTGCTTGTTCTTGAGACAGCAACATGTAGTTTTTGGAGAAACTCCTGTCATAAGCTGCCTTGGTCTCCATCGATCGGGTCGAGAAGGAGAGGAGATTGGAGGGGGGGTTTGGAGTTTTTGTTGTTTTGGTTCAAATTTAGAACTGTGTGTGAATGTATATATGTAGGGAGGCTTAAGCAGGTTATTATATTAGCTGCTCAAGAAAAAGAATATTTTCAGTGCAGTAATCTTTATCAGCTGTGGTGGCTTCTTGATTATTATTATGACTTAAATCAAAAGTCCACTGATGAGTGGGGTCTTTAGCATTATTAAAAGAAAAAATGTTCTTTTTTAAGAGATTACTTTTTTTTTTTTTTATATATATATATAACTAGATACATCAGTCATAGATTTTCTTAATTTTATGTCTATAATGGTAAGAAATTTTGATAATAAATTTGTTTTAAGTCATGCTGTACATCACCGCTAAAAATAAAATTAAAAAAAAACAAAAAAGTTATGATGTACACATACATATACATATTTAATGATTTATATTACAAAGTGACGTGACGTTTAAATTGTTGATATCATTTAGGGCCCACTTTATTTCACCCCATGTGTTTTAGGTTATCCTTTTAACATTGGAAAATTATTATATAATTTTCACCTGGTTTGTAAATTAAAATACATTGTTCATTTTTTCATCTAAATTAGCAAGTTGTGAGGTTTACACATTTATGACGAGCGTAAGTTATATTTTAAAACTAAAATATCTTTTATATATCTTTAAATTTATAAAAACTTGTCATTTTTCTTTCTCATCTCTATCATTTTTCCTTCTCTCACTATTTCTCGCCCATACAAATTCCCATTAACTAATCATCCTGTCACTCCATTTTCTCTCTCTATTACTATAAAAGTAATTTTAATTTAATTATAATATATACATATACATATAGTTATGGTGGGTTGGAAGTTAGCAATGGCAACCATGGAAGAAGATAAGCTCTAAATCAACAAAGAGGTCATTGGGGGGAAAAAAAAATTACAAGAAAACCAAACCCTCCTTAATAAAATCGGGCTTCTACACCTACGGCCACTCACTTTAATCAAAACCCAACCAAGACCTACTTTCTCAAGTTCTTGATTTTGGAATTGGTTTTGATTTCTCCAGTTCTTGAATTTCCGCTCAACTTCTAGAAAAATTGAGTTCTTTAGTGCATTTAATTTGTGATTTACATCACTACCCTCTATATAGATTAGGGTTTTCCTATCCTTCATTTTACTGTGGTAAAACCACATCTGCAACTGCTGATTCGAAAACCCTAACTTCATCGATAGCTCTGTTCTCAAACCCTCTTTGTCCCCATTCTCTCTCTACAATTTCTCTCTCCAGAAGCTTGGGTTCGGAAGATCAAATTCTATGAAGTAGCCTCATTTGAGCAGATCAATTCCATCAAAAACTACGGCATTGATATTTGGGAATCGATTTCAGACTATTTGGTATTGACAAAGAAAGAAAAAAAAGAATACGAATTCTTTTAGCTCATTTATAGAGACATAACGTATATAGATATACATATATAGTTGATATATATTTGCAAGTTTAATTCAAAGATAAAAGAGCAAGAAGATGAGGGTATGATTGTCAATTTACATATTCTGTTAACAGAAGTTAGCGTGCGTTTTAATTCACAAACTACGTGAGAGTTATGCGATGATTTCCACATATCAAGAGAATAATCCACGTCCAACCCAAAATACAGGGATAAATTGAAATTTGCTCCATCAATTAATTTCTATAGTCCCATTAATTCAAATATCAAAGTGTATTATTACTTGTCACATCAATTTGTTAAACAAGTTATTTATATAACATTTTTTAATTTATGTGCGTATAACATTGCCCTTATTAAAATTAATTGATAACTCATCCATACACTATAACATATAAGAATGTTAGATACTAAAAAATTTGATCTCTAAAAGTAAAAATGTTGTTGCAAAAGACATTTAGGAATCAATTTTTATTGTTGTGAAGATAATTACTAAAAGATCGTCTTGAAAAGTCCAAAATAAGACTTTTAGTGACAATTTTGAAAATGTCACTAACAAATACACTTTTAGGACAAAATAATTTGGTCTTTATTTTTTGAGAAAAAAATTTGGTCCCAAAATGATAATAATTAATTACTATTGTCCAATTATTGTTACTAAAAATATAATAACGACACTTTTCATAACAAAAATATTTAGTTCCTAAAAAATAATTTTGTCCCTAAAATTTTATTTCTAAAAGGGTCATTTTTTGATAAATCCTCTTTCAAATTGTTTTATTTCATCTAACACATTCTTTTTGAATATTCTATTATCTCCTGTTTATTGTAATATGACCAAAATTGTCCTTTCTAATTTTTTGCACATATTTCTATTTTGAAACTAATACATAACAATAGTACCTCATTTTATAGAAAAAATCTCTTCCTCATTCTGAAAAGAAAATCTTTTCCTTATTTTATGGAGAAAATCTCTCCTTATTCTAAGGATAAAATCTCTCCTGCATTCCATCGAGAAAATCTCAAATTATGAATTTTGAATCTTTTTATAATTTGAAAATTTTAAAAATAACGCAACAAAAAATCTAAATGCAAATCAATATTCACAGTAAATAACAACTATACAACTAACTCTTGAAAAAACAAAACACATTCTAAAGTACAATGTGAACGTTCACAATAAACAACAAACATACAACTAACTTTAAAAAAATAAAACTTATATCAAAATATAATGTGAATGTTCATAATTTATAATTAACATACAATTAGCCTTAAAAAAAATGACTCATACCAATGTAAATATTTTACACTATAATATGAAAATATAAAATAAAATTGAAAAAAAGTGAAAGTCGACTATTTCAATTGTTCAATTATAACAAAAATGATTATTCAACTAACAAACATAGTAACAAAAACAACAAACACAATTAATTTTTGAAAAAATAAAACTTATACAAAAATACAATGTGAATATTCACAATTTTATAATTAATATACAACTAGTTTTAAAAAAAAAAAAATTATACCAATGTGAACATTCACACTACAACGTGAAAACATAAAATAAAATTGAAAATAATGAAAATCGACTATTTCGATTGTTCAATGGTAACAAAAATGATTGTTCAACCAACAAGTATAGTAAAAAAAAATATAACTAACTTTCGAAAAAAATTCAAAAAAAATCTTATACCAAAATACGATGTGAATACTCACAATTTACAATTAACATACAACTAACCTTAGAAAAACTAAATTCATATCAATGTGAACACTCACAGTGCAACATGAAACAAAATTGAAAGAAAAAAAATAGCTATTTCAATTGTTTAATGGTAACAAAAAATGATTATTCAAACAACAAGTATATTAACAAATAACCATTGATATGTGAACATTCATATCTTGAAAAATATATTGTGGGTGTTGATTTTTGACGACATAACCAAACAAGGAAAACTCAACAGGAGAGCACCGGTAGAATAGATTAAGCCCGAACGATCTACTACAGAAAGATATGAATCCGGCGGTGGTTCGTCCACATGGGGGCACTCTGACGATTAAGTCAGTAATCAATATCTCTCAAAGATAACAAATAGTTATTAACTCACTAGACAGAGCATAAAAAGCATACCTTAGACTCACGAGGGTGCTTTACTTTTATAACCAGCACTAACCTGATCCCTGTAGAAGCTTAACTTCAATGCACTTTGGCTCAATGCTCATCTTGGACTCCCAACTACATAGAGATAAACTTCCTAAGAGCTTTATCTTTATCCAGATTGAGATCCTCTCCTGTTCTAAGACTCTTGTTCCTTATCCGTTTATCTCAAATTTCGATATCTCCGCAGTTAACCTCGGCGTCAGAACCAGGCCATGTGGCACCTCGGCTGACACTTCGGCGTCACCTTAGCCACGTGCTATCATTACAAATTAAGTCCCCACAACTGTCCCCTACGTTCTATTACCTCAACAACCTGAGGTGATGGAACTTATATCACTAGTTCATTTACTACGTCGGCTGAAATTCATTATTTCTTTCGACCGAGATCATGATTCGTCGGCTTCAAGTACCTAGTACTTAACTGTCCATTTTTATCAGGGATCAAGAACCAAGAACCAAGTTCTTTAAGTACCTTAACTGAGATCGTTCCTCTAGCCGAGGTTTTTGCTTCATTACATTAAGAACTCCAAGAGTTTAATCTGCTCATGGGCTATCACGCACGGTTTTCCCAACCATTTTTGCCACGCGTCCTTCTCTCACTAGTTCGTATCTGACACGCGTTATCAAGACACGTCGCTTCTACGCACGCTGCCTAACAGATACGTCGTCTACGGCACATCGTTATGATCTGTCGCCTTTTTCACAATTTCAACAAAACTTCTCCCTCTCTCTTCGTCCCTTCACTTTTGCAAAAAATAATCTCCCTCGTTACACAAATTTTCTCTCTCTAAACTTCCACTCTCGAACCGTCATTACTGTTTCTTCAAAGCTTTGCAACCGTTCCATTCGTCTTCTCCGACGAACTTTTTACCATCGGGCTCTAGGCAACATCTTCGTTGGACTCCGGTGAATCTCTGTCTAGCCTTGTTTCCTCAGCTTTATTTGGTAAGTTCTCACTTTCTGTCTTTCCAAATCTCAGTCTTCCACTGTTCTGAATATGTTTCTTTCATGAACTCGCCATATGATCTTTTTACTGCATTATTGTTTGTTGAATCTTGCACTCATGATTGTATCATGAATCGATTCATTTTATGTTTTGAAGTTTGCCACTGTGCTTATTTTGATTATCAATCACATTTGTGATTTGTACACACTGTCCCTACACACTCACTCAGTGTTTTGTGGATTTGGAATTCTATATTTGTGATTCTTGAATTTTGCCTTTGAATCCTTCTTAGCCCTGAACTTCGTTTTGTTTCTGTTTGCTTTGTCAGTCTTTCAGATTCTTGCTCTTGTTTCTTGTTTCAATCTTGATTTCTGAATTATGTTTCTTGTCTAGTCTTCTTGTTCTGTTTCTAGATTCTACCTTCGATTTTTTTTTTTTTGTTTGTTCACTTGCATGAACCATAGGCTTGGGATTTGCTTAGAAACCAAATACTTAGGAAAAACTAAACCAAAAACCCCCCTTACATCTGAAAAAACCCTAGTTCCGGTACCAGTTTAGGATATAGCTGAGGTAT